TTTCTAAAACTATGATTTATATCAACATTTTAATAGGATCGCAGATAGCTACAACAATTTAGTCCATATTTATCCCTTAATATAATTTTTTAGTTAGATATGGAAATTCTCGACCCTTTACAAAAAATTTCAAGCCAATATCTCAATTACATTCAAAAATATGTTCATTTAAACCTGTGTCCTTTAATTTCATCTTTTTCATATTTTAGTATTAAGTATGACAGCACATATTTAAATCTTATATTTACCTATTTTCTATTTGTTTGCTTATCCTTATAATTGAAAGGTCCTATTATGCTTAAATTTTCAAAAATTTATAACTATTTTTTACCTAAATTTTTTCGACAGATCATTTCGTTCTGTTTCGTTTATGATCATGTAGGTAAAAATGTACAGGTAATGATAATTTCGATTCATTCACTAATAAGAAATATCAATGACTGAATTACAGGTTATAGTAATATAGTCCTAAATGTTAATAGGTAGACAATTCGTAATTTTTTACTTTGGAATACCTGTATCGGAAATGACAAGAATTGGTATATAAGTAAACTTCTCTGATATTTAATAAATCTACAATGAAGATTACATTAAAGTACGAAGAGTTGTGTTCCGTTTTATGGAGTATATCTTCAAAAGGGCCAGAAAGAATTGAAGACATTTCAAATTATATAGAAACTACATATAGTAGACAAAACAGGCATATCAAAAATTTAAAACTTTTTAAAACTTTTTGATGTAAAAAGTAAGTCTGTGGATGGAAATCAAAAGAAATTTCGATTAAAATTTTGTAGTTGGACGGAAACTACTACGGAAATCTCAACTTACAACACATCAATAGGAGCGCCTTGCAAGTCATACGAAGACTTATGTTCAAGGTCAAAAAAAAGAGGGTCACACAAAAACTTTTTTCAATCTCAAATGAGGAAATTGCTGATACATTTAACGAAATGCTGAAAAAGGAAAACCAACATATGGATGTCGTACATATTGCAACTATTCTTCCTAATGCATCACCAAAACGACTTAAGCGAATTGTGGAAAGTATACCAACTCCAACATCATAATCAAATTTTACTGAAGAGGAAGCAATAGCGCTTATGTTGGAACTGGGTCTCAGTCGAAATAAGTACCAAATATTAAGAAAAGCTCTGCATGAAAAAGGACACAATATATTACCATCATACAAGGCGATCCAGGAAAAAAAAACAAACTATCCTACTAAATCAACAAAAAATAATGAAGAATTGAAAGAACTGAGAGCTGCGAAAAAAAGCAGAATCCAAGAAGAATTTAAAGTTCAGATGGGATTAAACATCGACAAACCACTTTCAAGTTGCGGTAGTACAAATGACGGTAATACGTCGAGAAGGTTTTTTCGTGATTTTGAAATTACTTCAAAAATAACTGGAATCGACAAGGAGTTGCTTCGAAGAGTTAACACTATTTTAATGGCACTGAATAGTAAACATAAAATTAATGGAAATCGATTTGGGGAATATATATCTGAAATTTCTAAATTACTTGTATCTCTGTATCCATGGAGGGAACTAACACCAACAGTACACAAAGTATTGTGTCATGGTCAAATAATAATTGAATCGAATATTCTTCCACTTGGAGAGTTAACAGAAGAAGCCCAGGAAGCGAGGAATCGAGATTTTAAGCATGTTCAACTATTCAGCTCAAGAAAATGCTCCAGGCAATCACAGAATGAAGATATTTTTAATAGTTTACTTCTATCTTCTGATCCTGTTCTTTCAACTATGCGAAAAAGATGGATTTGTTATGAAACTCTATCATCTCAAAACAAGGAAGATTTAAAGGACTTATATTACCTTCTGGATATGTATACCGATATGACAGATTATTTTATAGAAAATAAGTAGTGTTAGGAATTAACTATATAAGTAGGTTGTAAGAATTATTTGTATTATGTTTAAGATAAACAGTTCAAATAAAAAAAGCTATTATACTAACTGATGATATTGTATTAAATTGTGTTTTATATTTCGGTGGGCGGGAAAGGTAATTTGTGTGGGGTGATTTAGGTGTTGTTGTGCGTGGCTCATAATAAAATTATAATTTTTTTTATTTAATATACAATATTATAATAAAATAATTAACTAAATAATTTTTAAAAATTGTCCAAATATTTTATTCAACACCAAATGTATGTTCTGTCATACTTAATACTAAAATATGAAAAAGATGAAATTAAAGGACACAGGTTTAAATGAACATATTTTTGAATGTAATTGAGATATTGGCTTGAAATTTTTTGTAAAGGGTCGAGAATTTCCATATCTAACTAAAAAATTATATTAAGGGATAAATATGGACTAAATTGTTGTAGCTATCTGCGATCCTATTAAAATTTTGATATAAATCATAGTTTTAGAAATTAAACAAATATGTAATATATGACAAAATCTTTATTTATGAACAAAACTCAATGAAATTTTCAACGCTTGTTAAATTTGTCATTTCAAATAAGAATATACAAAAAAAAAATTGAAAAGGTCAAAGGGCATCCCGCAATTCCCAAAAATAGGAATGAAAATCCCAAAAATGGGATTTTTTATTTTTTTGCCCATAGGGTCCACATTTCTTTCAGGGCTGGGAAAATACTTTTGGAGTAAATAGAAAACATATTGAGGTTTCCAGAACTGCTTTCAGTTTTCTGATCCCAGCTTTGGGATTTTAGAACATGTCGCCCAAAGTTGAAGTTTTGATAAAAAATAGGTCATATTCGGAAGGACGCAGTGGCAACATTTTCAAAAAATAGGACTAGTTTTTTACGCCAAAGCGTTCTGCGTAAAGATACCTTTTAGAAAACTATAAAATTGTTATATGTTCTTAATAAAAATTTTATTTTATTAATAAAAGAGTTAAGACACATTTTTGGCAAAAAAACGCCAAAAATCTAAAAATTTTTGAATTTTTAAATTAAAAAACGTATATTTTTGGATCTGTAAACGATATTGATCTGAAATTTTTTGTATATTATTGGAAATTTTGTTGTCTAACTAACAAGAAAAAATTGAGTCCATTTGGTCCAAAATTACGCCCGGTATTCAAAAAAAGGCGGACCAAGGTATGGTAAATTTTGTATCACTAAATTTTTAAATGCCTATAACTCGGATATTATAAGAGATAAGTAGTATGTCCAAGCATGTTTTTTCAAGATCTCGTCGAGCGCTTTCACAAAATATAAAAATCTTTGTATTTGGGTGAAAAACAAAAAAAATGGCACGAGTTTAAAAATTTTACATGTCGTAGGTACCCTACTTTGAGCCGCCACAGCGCCGTCCCTGGGGCATCTGCAGGGTTCATCTTCAAAACTTAAACTCGAATACTCCTTGGCTACGCTCACGCCAATTTTATCCCGATCGGATCAGCCGTTTAGAAATGCCAGATTTATTTCCAAAAAATTTCCATTCTGCCCCACTGTGGGCTATAGCAACGAACATATGCGAAATATTGACAATAACTTGCGGGCAGTTTATAATCCCGGCGGATTAGATGTACCGGTAATGCAAAAGATCCCACTAGCTGATAGGTAGATAGATAGATAGATAGATATAGATAGATAGATAGATAGTAGATAGATAGATAGATAGATAGATAGATAGATAGATAGATAGATAGATGATAGATAGATAGATAGATAGATAGATAGATAGATAAGATAGATAGATAGATAGATAGATAGATAGATAGATAGATAGATAGATAGATAGATAGATAGATAGATAGATAGATAGATAGATAGATAGATAGATAGATAGATAGATAGATAGATAGAATAGATAGATAGATAGATAGATAGATAGATAGATAGATAGATAGATAGATAGATAGATAGATAGATAGATAGATAGATAGATAGATAGATAGATAGATAGATAGATAGATAGATAGATAGATAGATAGATAGATAGATAGATAGATAGATAGATAGATAGATAGATAGATAGATAGATAGATAGTAGATAGATAGATAGATAGATAGATAGATAGATAGATAGATAGATAGATAGATAGATAGATAGATAGATAGATAGATAGATAGATAGATAGATAGATAGATAGATAGATAGATAGATAGATAGATAGATAGATAGATAGATAGATAGATAGATAGATAGATAGATAGATAGATAGATAGATAGATAGATAGATAGATAGATAGATAGATAGATAGATAGATAGATAGATAGATAGATAGATAGATAGATAGATAGATAGATAGATAGATAGATAGATAGATAGATAGATAGATAGATAGATAGATAGATAGATAGATAGATAGATAGATAGATAGATAGATAGATAGATAGATAGATAGATAGATAGATAGATAGATAGATAGATAGATAGATAGATAGATAGATAGATAGATAGATAGATAGATAGATAGATAGATAGATAGATAGATAGATAGATAGATAGATAGATAGATAGATAGATAGATAGATAGATAGATAGATAGATAGATAGATAGATAGATAGATAGATAGATAGATAGATAGATAGATAGATAGATAGATAGATAGATAGATAGATAGATAGATAGATAGATAGATAGATAGATAGATAGATAGATAGATAGATAGATAGATAGATAGATAGATAGATAGATAGATAGATAGATAGATAGATAGATAGATAGATAGAAGATAGATAGATAGATAGATAGATAGATAGATAATAGATAGATAATAGATAGATAGATAGATAGATAGATAGATAGATAGATAGAAGATAGATAGATAGATAGATAGATAGATAGATAGATAGATAGATAGATAGATAGATAGATAGATAGATAGATAGATAGATAGATAGATAGATAGATAGGGTTTGGTACAACTGTTTAAAATGTTTGAACTTTGTTCGCCTCTAGTCGTTCTGGAGCAATAATCTTATAATTTAATTGCATTTTAAAAGCCCATTCCTTGTACAAAGTAAACACAAATACCAAGAGTTTTTTTCTTTAATTTTCTCATTTGTTTTATTTGGATTTGAAACTTAGAGATATCACAGGATTAGAAATAATACATAGAAAAGAATAACAATTATTTTACAAAATTAAATATTTAAATTAAAAAAAAAATCCAAATCCAATTTTATGATTTCGATTTAACGGGCTTTGAAGTTGTGGTTGTAGAATTTCTGTTGGGGAAAAAGAACGGCATGAAAAAGATAAAAGAACGATTAAAACTTATTAAATGTAAAGGCAAAAGTAAAATTATATAAAATTTTGAAAATTTATTGCAGAAAGAATTCCAATTTTGATAGATTATTTTGAGTAATTTTTTGCCGGATAATCGAATTCTTAATAATTTTCAAGATTAAACGTTCTGTAATAAATTTAAAGTATTAAAAAAAAATAAAATCAACACCTCTCACCTTAAAATTTACTAATTAAAATAAAGTTTTAAAATAAGGGATAAAGCTCTACGTGCAAGCTTTTAAAAGTGACATGCTTTTACTACAACTACCAGTAAATGTGCGTGTTTGTATGTATTATTTCTGAATCTTGTTAAATTTCTTTAAACAAGTCTACAATTCTTCTTTTCTGGAATTCGAATACAAATGTGTAACATCTTCTACGGTGCCCAAGTGTAAAGTTTTCTCATCTTCAAGATTATCATTCTCATCGTCCAAAAGACTATGATCATGATTTTTAATTTTAATTTCTTGCAACTTTGGTTTAGTGTTCTTTGGTTTAGCTGTGGACTTCTTGTGTTTGGGTATATAAGTGACTGTTTCTGTGTCACTAGTGACGGTGGTGTGTAAAGTGTTCTTTTGTGTAGCCTGTGAGGGATCTGGACTGGTTAGGGAGATTTTTGAAGCATAAACTATTCTGTAAGTTTTAAATAAATTTTAAAAAATATATTATTAGTTATACAGTTAAGCTTATAACTTAAGTTTAAGTTTAGTAACATGCTTTTAAATTTAAAGCTTTTTTTTAGCTAAGTTTAGCTTTATAAAACTTTTTTGGTAATTTTCAAGTTTCAAATACCTTTTCATATTTACAGTTTCAATTTCAAGGCATATTTTATCGTTTCATTTTTTTTAACATACAACAAGCTTTTGTTTTGTGCTTAAATTAACTAGTTGAGCTTTTATAGTTTATTTGCTTTTTAGAAAATATCTATTGGCGTTGTCGGCTTGCTCCTCGTAGCTTTTGTGGTTGTCTAATTTAGCAAGTTTTATTGATATATTTACATTACAATTAAACAGCTTTAAACTCTAATATTTACCTGTCTCTGGTTTGCATATTGGCCTCTACATCCACACTGCGTGGTTGTCTAAAATCACATTCCAACGAGAAAGCCGAATCTCCGGGTGTTATGAGCTCTGGATCATTTTGTATGACCACGATATTGGAATAGAGTTCTCCCTCCTTTTGGGTTTGACACTGATCTAAACTGAAATTCATTTCTAGAGTTTTGGCACTATTCGTTGAGGGTTTAACGAAACAGGGAGCTGCTTGTTTATAGAAACTTCCTCTGGTATACATGACACCGGTGAAGGGTTTTTCGGTTTCCAACATGACATGCATGGAATCGGAACCACATTTGAGGTTGACTTTCTGTATGCCCTGATCGGAGCCTTCGATTTTAAAGGTATCGGTTAGATCTTGTTCCCAAATTTCTGGAAGATATAATAAAAATATTTAATAATAATATTTGAACAAATTAAAAAGAAATTATTATTAAACTTTTCGAATAATCGAATAATATATTTCCGTCTATTCATTTGAAACTATCCTAAAATGTTTAAAAAAATATTCGAATAATCGCTTTTAAACATGTTTTGCAAATTAAATTAAAAATGTGTAAAATTTTATTCGATTAATCGATTAATATGTAGCAGTTTTTGCAAAAAATAATCAAAATAAAATTAATATTTTTTCGAGTAATCGATTAAAATTACAATAAAATAAAAATGTGAAGAATACTTAAACTTCCCTTTATAATGCGAATAATGAATAAAAATTATTCGATTAATCGCTTCATACTATTCGAATTTATTAAACAACTTGAATTTTCGGCAAATATAACGGAAAACGCTTTAGAATGTTATTCGAATAATCGATTAAAATTATCCGATTAATCGAATAAATATATTCGATTAAATATTTCTCAGAAAATTATTGACAAATTGAAAATTATTTATAAAAATGAATTTCATTCGAATAATCGATTAAAATTATCCGATTAATCGAATAAATATATTCGATTAAATATTTCTCTGAAAACTTATTGACAAATTGAAAATTATTTTATAAATTTTAAAGTTTTAGAATAATTTATCGAATAGTCGATTAATTTAAAACAAACAAATAATTTTTCGAATAATCGATTAAAATTATTCGAATAATTAAAATTCGTCTAATCGTTTAACTTTAAAAATTGAATAAAACAAAATACTCGTTAGTAAGTTATTCGAATAATCATTATAAAGTTATTCGAATAATCGATTGAAATTATCTGGTTAATCGATTAAATACATTCGATTACATTTTTGTATGAATATTTATTGAACAAATTTAAAATTGTTTAAAAAATTTAAATTTTTGATTTAAATTTGTCGAATAATCGATTAAAATTAAACGAATCATTAAAATTTAATTAAACGAATCTTTTGAAAATTATTCCATAAATTGCATTTTCTGCAAAAAAATACGAAAAATACAAAAAAATCGATTAATCGATTAAAATTATTCGATTAATCGATTCAAATTATTCGATTAATCGATTCAAATTATTCGATTAAATTCATTCAATTAAATTTTTTAATGAAAACCTCTTAAAAATTATTTAATAAATTTTAACTAAATTTTTTTAGAAGTTTTTGAATAATCGATTAAAATTATTCGATTAATTAATTATCGTTTAATTAAACTTAAACATTTCATAAATAAATTCAATTATCTGCAAACACAACAAAAAACTCGAAAGAAAGTTTTCCAATTGCTTTAAGTTATTTGAGTAATCGATTAAACTTATTCGATTAATCGGTTTGAAAACAATACTATGATAAAGAATATTATTCCGAGTTTAATGTTCTTTATAAATGTATTTATATTTTTTCTGTAATTAATATGAAAAAAATCCTAAAAAATATTCGAATAATCGATAAAACTTATTCGAATAATTCGATTAAACGATTAAAATTATCCGATTAATCGACATAATTTATTCGGTTAATCGTTTAAAAACGATTATTTTCGTTATTAAATTGATTTTTATGATTTGATTTTATTCCAACATAATTTCCGTTTTTAGCTTTTGATAGTTTTTTAAATATTCGATTAAATTATAGCGATTAATTAAAATTTACCGATTATTTTAATCGATTAAAAATATAACAACTTTTTCATACAAAAATTTGTAATAAATAAACTATTAAAAATTACTTGATTTGTACAAAAAGTTATTCGAATAATCGATTAAAATTATCCGATTAATAGATGAAATGTATTCGGTTAATCGAATAAATAAGTTAAATATTTGTAACATTTTTTTTTCTTTGATAAAACAGATAACGAATAATTTTTTTTCGTTATTTTTTCATTATTAATCGATTTAAATTATTCGAATATTCGGTTAAACTCAAATACTAAATCTTGTTAAACAAATTCTTAAAAAAGACAATATTTGTTAAAATTTTTTCTTTTATAAAGTAAACACGAATTTGTTCTATTTTTTACGAATAATCGCATTAAAATATTCGAATAATCGATTTATATTATCCGATTAATCGATTAAAAATTTGCGCTAATTCGATATAAAATTTTATTTAAAAAATACCTTTTTCAGTTTTTTATAGTTTTTTGAGTATTCGATTAAAATTAACCGATTAATTAATTACAATTTGCGATTAATCGATTAAATATAAAAAATCTTTTTTTATACAAAAATGTGTAAATAAAATAAAAATGAAAAATACTAATTTTATACCAACAATTTATACGAATAATCGATTATGTATCTGATTAATCGAATAAATTATTCGAATTAACTCTAAATTGTATGTTTAAAAGATTAATAGTTTATTAAATATTCGAAATTTTATCTTATTAATACTTAACCAAAATACAAAAAATTATTCGAATAATCGATTAGAATTATCCGATTAATCGATTAAAAATTAACCGAATAATCGATTAACATTATTCGTAAAATCAATTCAGATTTAAGTTTTCTCTAAATCATTATTGTCAATTTTTATCGATTAATCGTTTAATCCTAACAAAATATTTTGAAATTTTTTCTTAAATTTACACAATAATTTCTTTCAGTGTTAAATAAGATTCACTTGCTACACTTTCTACGTCTTCTACATATTTATATACTTTGCCAAGAACACTACATTTACACGATTCTCTTTAAATAAAACCGGTTTTCTGTAGTTGTTGTTTGCAACAGACGATTCTTAACAAAGTCATTGTCATGATCATTGTTCTTAAACGCACAAAGAGTTTACAAACCACCATAAGTATCTACATACATATACAGTGTCTCTCATAATTATTCGAATTTGGGTAAACTATAAAAAGAAACCAAATTTAATAATATATTTTGTGTGCAAAATAAATAAATTAATTTGTTATATTGTCTAGATAGTCCTTATGTTTGATATCACGCTTTTTAAAACTTGAAAAATTTGTATTGACTTAAATTAATTGTGCTTTTTTAAAAAAAGTCCATGAAATTGCCTCACAAAAGTATACGAATTTTTCCTGTATTTCATATTTGATCATATTATACGCAACACAAATTTTAGAATCGAATGGTTTTTATGCGTAATATTGTTTTAAGGGGTTACTATCCACGGAAAGGATATATTTTTGGCCCATTTGGTCCACAATTTTGGGGAATTTGTACCCTTTTTTCATGTAATATCATTAAAATAGCGATTTTTGACCATAATTGTAAATTTTTCTCCTTTTTTCCAGAGATAAAACAAAAATTTGATATTGGGACTCAAAAGACCCCTTGGGGTATCTAAAAATAATATCTTTTGTTACAAGAATCTGTATTTAAACGTTCCAAGATAAATTATTCGGATCATTCTTCTTTCGCTAATTCAATATATTGGAACTTAAGTCCATTTTTATAATACTAGGATCAACTATTTTCGGGGAAAGTTTTCTGGTATATATTCTTTTAGATATCAGCTTTTATACATTTTAAGTTTTCAATGTGTTGTGGAAGTGTACAACTCCAAAACATGCCTCGAAGAAACACCATTCAAAATAGTAAAATCATTATTTTTATATGCCAATGGCCTCCATGCTGCATGGCACGATATCATTATGATCACATCAAAAATGTTGATATGTGTTTAAATATTATTTACTATGATCAAATTAAAACCAAAATTTAGGACTTACAGTGTTATTGTAACGGGCAACATAAGCGCGAAAGTTACGAGTAGTAAAAACTGAAATCTACTATATAGGATGACGTTTTGTTAAGGCATGTTTTGGGGTTGTATACCGCTATAATATATTGAAAATTTAAAATACATTAGTGCCAATATGTACATGAATATACACTAGACAACTTTGTCGGAAAATATCGTCCCTAGAGGTACGAAAAGGGACTTATGATCCAGATAATTCAATTAGAAACTGCAAAACGATAGCAAAAATACATCTTGGAACGTTTAAGTACAGATCCTTATAACAAAAAATATTATTTTTAGATACCCTATGGTTTCTATTTAATTCCAATATTAAATTTTGGTTTTATCTCTGGAAAAACATTACAAATATAGCCAAAAATCGCCATTTTAATGATATTACATGAAAAGAGGGTACAAATCCCCCAAAATTGTGGACCAAATGGGTCAAAAATATATCCATGCGGTTGATAGTAACCCCTTAAAACCATATTAAGCATAAAACCATGCGATTCTAAAATGTGTGTATCGTATAATATGATCAAATATGAAATACAGGAAAAATTCGCATACTTTTGTGAAGTAGTTTCATGGACTTTTTTTAAAAAAAGCATAACTAATTTAAGTAAATGTAAAGTTTTCAAGTTTTAAGGGGCGTGATATCAAAACTAAAGACTATCTAGACAATATAACAAATTTATTTATTTATTTCCCACACAAAATATATTATTAAATTTGGTTTCTTTTCATAGTTTACCTAAATTCGAATACTTATGAGAGACACTGTATATGTATGCAAAGTATCTTTAGAATACGACTCAAACCAAGCGTATTAATCAATTTTTCCATTTTTACCTTGTTGACTTTTTTGTTGTTGCTGTTGTTCTTTTTTAGCCTGACAAACCGTTAACAACAATAAGTTGAAGGCACAAATGATGACAACTTTAGATGATTTAATAAACATTTTGAAAATTGTTTAAATACTTTTGATTTTTTTTATAAATTAGTTATAATTTTTTGTTAAATTAATTTAAAATAATAATATTTATTTAAGTTTTGTATAATTTTTTTTGTAAAATCTTCACTTAATTTTTATTAATAATTTTACAAATTTGTTTAAAACGTTTTATATTATTTTGGTTGAATTATTTTTCTTCTTTTTTTTGGTGTCTGTTGTTTACGTTTAAATGCCAAATAATCAACTGATGGCTTTAATGTTCAGAGCAAAGCATATAAAACCCCTGGTCTGAATCAATTCCGAGTCGCAACAATACCAACAAACAAAAGTAGTAAAAAAACAAAATATTACGAAAGAAAGAGAAACAGATGTACCACTGGTTGGCAAAGAAAGAGAAGTTGTCTAAGACCGGCCGACTTATTGTGTTGTGTTTTATTGTTATTTTTGTTTCCATTTCATTCATTTCTTCTTTTGGCCTAAATGATATTGCCAGGTTTTTCATGTTATTTCATCGCAACACACACACGCACACCCATACAGGAGTTTTCAAAATTGTGCCGGTCTAATGGCAAGTTGTCTAATTTTGTTTAAAACGTGCCTGCTTTAAAAGTCAGTGTATTAAAGGAATTTAAAGGTGCGATCATTTCTCTGTTTTGTTTGCATTATATGTGTGATAATGCTTAAAGGGTTATGTTGTTTACCCCAAGTGTCCACTCGGTCGAATGTCCGTTACCCCATTTTATGCATTTGAAAGAAAACTCTAAGGACCATGTTCGAATACTTCGGTAAGATTTTCAGAAATCCAATTTCTTACAGTTGTATTACTGAGCAGCAAAAATAATATTGTCGAAAACAATTGTATCCAATGACAGATCAATAAGAAACCTCTACAGATCAGATTCTTCTGCAGATTAGATTCCTCTGCAGATCAGATTCCTTTAAAGTGGATCAGAAAGATTCCTGATCTTCTAAAACTTCTCCATTTGTTGAATCTTTGAAACGCTGTGAAGTAGGTGAACACACAACTTTCCTTAAAAGCAGAATTCAATAACTTCAGATTGCAGAATGTTATTTGAAAGACCTTCTTCGAGTGAACTGAATTCAGTACAATCAAAAATTGCTCCATATGTCGGTCTATACAAAATCTAATCAAAATTCAACCCAAAGTTCTGGTAACCTAGTTGCCAGGCAGACTATAGCACTTTGAATCTTCTAAAAGCAGTAACCGTAGAGAGAGGCAGACTATAGCACTTTGAATCTTCTAAAAGCAGTAACCGTAGAGTTTTATCTCTTTAGGGGTAAATTTCTCAAGAATTTTCGATACCACAACCGAATGGATCCATCCAACCATATATACCGTTTGTAGTTCATTCGTTTTCATATTCAGGTTTAGGAAGTAATTGAGAAGACACTTGGGAGGCTTGGCAGATTAAAGACTGTATGAATTTTCGTAGTCTATAGGCGAAATTGTTTTAGTTAATGGGTGAAATTGGAACTAAAACTGGCAATTACTAAAAGAGCAAGGGATGATAATGAAAGCGATCATTTGGAAATCAAGCCGCCCAATCGGCTTTGACTATAGAAAAGGATGATCATGATCGAGATTAAGCAACTTTATCGGATCAAAATTGAGTTCGATCGACTTTACCGGTTTTGGCTATAACATAGGATGATCATGATTGAAAACTAGTGATCGTCATATAAGACACTGATGATTGATTCTTCTAAAAGTGATCATCGTAAGACATATTTTTCATTCGTTTTCATGTTCGGGAACTTGGAATACTGATTAAATTTTACCTTAAGTGAATTCCTTCAGGAGCAAAGGACGATAATGGCAGTGTTCCAAAGTTAGCGAAGCTTGATCGAAATTGATCGTGAAACAAAGAACGGTTATAAATAAATTTGATTTATCGACTTTGGCGCCAGCAAAAGATGATTATGCTTGATGAATCAGAGATCGGAAATAATGAAAATGATAATTAATTTGCAGAGTTGCAAAGTTAGATAAACTTGAACGGAGTTGATCGAGAAACAAAGAAAGATTATGAATAAATTTTCAAATCAAGCGACTTTATCCGCTTTGGCGATAGCAAAGGATGATCACGATTATGTTCTTACAATGGATTTTAAGAAAGCTGATGATAAGTTCAAAAAGTGATAACTGTAATTCGATGCTGTAACCAGCGGATCTTGTACGCACATACAAAACCATTAGTCATTCTTTCTTGGAACACATGCTTCGTCAGGGCATATATGCATTTGAGAAGACTCTCTCATGGCTGTATAAAAAAAATCTCTATCCCTTTGAAAAGGTTGGTTATTGAATCAACCTTAAGCCAATTCCTTCAGTAAGGACGGATGATCATTAAGAAGGTATTCGGAAATCAATCAACTAAATAGATCTTGTCGATTTCAAATAATGATATATATGTTTCCCCAAAATCGGCATGTCTAAGTCTATATTGTGAATATAATTTGGTTCTTAACGATCGCAAAGGGGAATCCATGGAGTATTAACATTCAATTTGGAAAACGCGTTCTTCACCCTACATTAAGCTTTCGATAGATGTTTAAAACGACTTAATACCTTTAATTCCTCCAATTTCTTGATACGCAATAATTGGCTGCCTGTTGCTGCCAACATTGTAAGCCTTTAAATGTGTATTGTTGCAATAATAAATGCAACAATGAGTTTGTATATTTTGTTTTTTTTCTATCTTCTTTTTCGGTTCGGGAAATGAAATTGAAAATGTTAGATGAGATTTACAAAGTGTTGGAACTATAGAAACAACACCAAACGGAACAATTATGGGGTGTTTTCCGCATTTAATATGGCGATTATGTTTCCAAACAAACACACGATTCACACCAACCAACTTCCTAAGCCTAATTTTATTTCTATTACTTCTGGCAATTTTGCCCAAAGTTGCGCGCTGTAGCTGGAAACCAATACGTTCAGCATCACTTGATAATATCGCGTGTTGGTACCAGTCTCTATGTATCTCACTCTCTCGGAACTAAACTATTTGTTAATGATTTTGTTTTTTTTATTATTATTACAATTCATAGTGGTAACTGTATTTATTTCCGAATGTCTTATTATTCTGTTTTTGTTGTTATTGCAATTTTGAAATGAAGCCTTTTTTCGTATATAAATATTTGTTAGATAATTACGGGGCTTATTAAATGTTTCTATTAGTTATAATGCATAAGTTGAAGTTGTAATGAAAATGAGTTTTTGGAAGGGTTAAAATATTGAGGAATTTATATAAGAGGGTTAAGGTGGAAGTTTAACTCGGACCTGGTTTTGTATTATGTTTTGAATATGTTACTTTTATGTTTGATAACATTCCTGCTAATTATTAAAAACGTGTCTCGTGAAACAAGAACTTGAATCGACCTTAAAATTCCTGAAAGAAGTTGATCAAAAATTACATAACACAATGCTTGAATTTGGAAATGAAGCGAGCTTCCGAAAATTAGCGATAAACTTTAACTTAAGAACTAACAGATTTCCCTGATAAAACCTAGTAGATTGCGAGGGCTGAGTCCCGTTATGCCATTTCAACCTGTAATCTGGGACAATGGCAAGAGTGCGGTATATCATTGTCCCACTTACTGGCAAAAGCCCTAATAGAGTAATGTCCCGTTTAATTACCTTTAGGATTCCTTAGACTGCACTTATCCAGTATCTTTTTTGTCTTTACATCAATTATTGCCCATAAGGCCTTTGATATTATGCAATCCATTTTATTGTTTCAGAACAGGTTGATGATGACACGGAGTTATTAAAAGATCACCCCATAATAGTGACAGATGAATGAAAGGTTATGTCAAGGTTCGAACCTAGTGTTGGTACAGGATGTTGGAAAAATTGCATTCGTCAGTGAATCTTGGAAGAATGATTTCCATCGTTCTTATGGGTGGTGGAATCCATACTGTTATTATTGATAATAATGGAAATTTTACTCTGTGTTAATTCCTCTTTACTTGCCAATTGTGGATTTTAAGAATTTCTTCCTTGTTTCCACAATTGACAACATTCACGCCCTTAATCCAGTCTATATCATTTGAATGATACATTCTCCGAACTGTCATTGAAATGATCTTTGGAAGATATTACCGTAAAATATTCAGAAACTCAGTTTCATGAACACAGTTCCCATGATATTTGGATCTACGACAGAGAAAGTGTTCCAGTGTATCACTCTACATTCGTCTAAATCTGTTTGTTTACCTAACATCGTACTTGGATGGTTAACGCAGTCCTTAACTATGCTCAAACTTTCAAAAGAAATTGTAAGGACTGCGTTGTTGTATTAGATCCAGCCTATAGTGGTGAGACATGTAATTTGAATGATACCTTCTCCGAACTGCCATTGAAGTAATCTTTGGATGATATTACCGTAAAATATTCAGAAACTCAGTTTCATGAACACAGTTCCCACGATATTTGGATCTAATTTCAACAAAAGCTTGGCAACGACAGAGAAAGTGTTTCAGTGTATCACTGATCTCTTCGCATGCTCTATATTCGTCTGAATCTATTTGTTCACCTAACCTCGTACTTGATAGGTTAACGTAGTAGTTTACTACGCGCAAATTTTTAACAGGAATTGTAAGGACTGTGTTGTTGTACTAGATTCAGTCTATAGTGGTGAGGCCTATCAACAGGTCGTTGAATTTGGACCCAGATAATTCACCAAGGTTGCATGTATTGTACTTCCTAGAGCAGGTCATTCGCAGCGAAAGTGGAAACCTCTGAGCCCTCTTCATGGGTGTAGATTATTCCATGTATTTTCAACATTTTAGAAGGAACCTGAAGAGATTATTGTTAACAAATCCCAACGGAGTTGCTACTGAAGCTATGTTGGAGATATCCATATGCTCTTCATTTCCGTAGTAGTTACTATATGCAGGGACCTAAATTTTAATGAAAAAAGTAACTCCTGACTATCGAAACTCTGTCATTATTTCATTCTGAAACGCACTATAGTTGTTTGTAAGTCCTTGGGAGATTATTCTTCGCAGAAAACACTAGAGGTGATTGGTTTTAGACTGGTAGTAAGCATTAAATTCTCGTGTGTCCATATTTTCTTGTTCTCTAGCCTCGCTGAGCTGGATGCATAGATCACCCTTATAAAAAGATCGATAGGAACGATTTTGCATTCGTCAGAGTAACTTCATCAAGCTTTCTTCCCTTTGTAGCAAGTACATTCGTTATGTCTTTCATTGCCAATTATCCCTGAGAGACCTGGCACCGGTATAATCTAGAGCTTACCACTGGAAGAGCCCATCACAAATGTCAGAGATCGTTAAACGAACGTAAGTAATAGACTTTAAAGGAATTTATTTGAAAAATATGATTAGGATCGTGTTTAAATTTAAAATGATCTTGAGCAAATTCCTTCACTAAAGAAAGATTTAACCAGACTGAATTACTATATATAAAACTGAGAAACCCAATATAATCAGTGAAATTTGAAGCGACTGAAAAGACCTTTTTGTAAACTTTTACGATTTTATGATTTAAATAAAACGTGACTGCATTTTCCCTCAACTTCCTCATTTCGATTTTCTTGTAAATTTAATACTCTGCCACAAAACGCTTTAATTTCCCAGTTGATTAAAAACAACTCATCTTATACATCATTTTTTTTTTTTTTGTTATTATTTCTTACTTCACATTAAAATTTATTGAAATTTATTTCTGTTCATATATAAAGCTTACACACAAGTTTATATGTAAATTATGAAATATTAAATATAATTACAATTATTTCTTTTCCTTTTTATTATTCATGGCTGCCCAGTAGCGTTCAAGTTCAATACCCTCCCAGTTGATTGACTTGGTAAAAATGCTAGAAAACATTAAAAAATAAGAAAAGGAAACAAATTAGAAATATTGCAATTGCAGCAACAAAATAGTACATTAATAAATTATAAATTTTGTAAAGTTTTTTTTTTTTTTATGGGTGATAATGATCATGAAATGTAAGTAATAACTTACAGTTTTAATGAATGTGTGTTTGTGTTTTTAAAAAGAGATTGTAACATAAAACTTTTCTTTTTTTTTTTTGGGTTCGTTGTTTGTCACAGCATAAATCAGTGACAGGCAATTATGATTATGTTGTACAGTTAAAGATGTGGCGATAGTTACACTGGCAATGGAGGTCTTCTTATTTTGTTACCGTTTAGTTTGAAGATGGTTTGGGTTCGGTTATGCAAACGAATTTTAACTTTAATAGATCGTATGTAGGGCAAATTTAATCTACACACCGACTTGTTGAAAACAGAAGTAGAAGATCAGTGCCTTATAGTGATCTACAATGTTGCGGAATTAAAGATTCAGTTAAAAAAAGTAGCAACATATGAGAGTTATTGTAACTTAATAAAGTTGGATCGATATTAAGGACCTTCACAGGAGATGAATACGAATTGGTTGTAATCCTTCCAGAGTGATTGTGGAAGTGAGTTTTTCGGCATTAAGAGCATTCTTTAGAAATATGAGGGAAAGGAAATTAGGCGTCTTGATCGATATTGTTTAAATTCTTGCAGGGGCAAAGGATTAGAATTTATATAAAAGATAGAAATTTCAGAGCAGATAATGGTAACGAGTTGATCGGCCTTAAGAACACTCACATGAAGATCTCTATTAGAGAGCAGAAGTTAAAACGATCCTTCTGGAGCCGTTGTGGAAGCGAGTTAAACAAACTTCAAAATATTATCCAGGAAAAGAACAGAAAAAATTAAATTTGAAATTTAAGTGACTTGACCCACCTTTTAGAGTGAAAATTAAACGAGTTGATCGACCTTAAAAGCACTAACACAAAGATCACCATCGATTAAAATCTTATTCCATGATAGAGAGAAGAAGTTATATTGATTCTTTTGGAGCGATTTAAAAAAGTCTCCAGTAATAGAGAACAGCAAGAAATATCTTCATATATTCGAAAAATAAGAGACTTTATCGAACTTAATTAAATTTTTTCAAGAGCGTAGAATTTCTATCGAATTTGTAAGATGGTCGTGATTTTTTCATAACTTAACAATATTCTCTTTAGAAAATAAGGACAAAAAGTAGTTTAAAATGATGATCAGGGAAATACACATAGACTTTTAACGGCACTACTGCGTATTTCCTTACCAGTCAAATCAAAAACCTCGAGTTTTCCAGAATCGAGCACTAACTACTAACCTAACGAAAGCACACTCCAAAGACTAAGAACAATGCGAAATAAAACAATCCACTTGATCGATCTTGATGAAAGTTAAAACGATGTGATCGTTATTACGAACAGATCTAAAAGCGTAATAAAGAACGTCAACAAATAATTAAAAATTCATCCCGGAAGGAAGGATCTCTATCGGATTCTGAGAGCCATTTAGGCATAATAGTCAATGAAAGTCAAAATGATTTAATCGCAACTCTTGCAGAGAACAATTGATCGTTATTCTTCTAGAACGATCAATGAACATCAAGATATCTTTGTGAAAACAAGCGAAAATTGAGTTCGCAAAAGTGGTAGCTAATCGATCGCACTAGATGAAATTTATCTGGGAGAGAAGATCGTAATTCTTGCAGAGAATAATTGATCGTTATTCTTCTAGAACGATCAATGAACATCAAGATCATTTTTTAAAAACTCGCAGAGCAGAGCAAAGGATCTGAATCGAAATTTCATTCAGAAAGAAAGGATCTATATCGGATTCTGAAAGCCATTTAAGAATAATAGTCAATGAAAGTGAAAACGATTTAATCGTAATTCTTGCAGAGAACAATTGATCGTTATACTTTGCGAGCGATCAATGAACATCAAGATTTCTTGGGAAAACAAGCAAAATTGAGTTCGCAGAAGTGGTGGCGAATTGATCGCACGTGATGAAATTTATCTGGCAGAAAAAGGATTTGTATCGAAAATTCATCCTGGAAGAAATGATCTCTATCAGATTCTGATAGCCATTTAGGGATAATAGTCAATGAAAGTTAAAACGATTTAATCGTAATTCTTGCAGAGAACAATTGATCGTTATACGTTGCGAGCGATCAATGAACATCAAGATTTCTATGGAAAACAAGCAAAATTGAGTTCGCAGAAGTGATAGCGAATTGATCGCACTTAATGAAATTTATCTGGCAGAGAAGGATACTAGATACTAGAGAAAAGTTAAGACGTATTGATCGTAATTCTTCTACAGCGATTGTTAAAGCGTGTTGATCGATCTTGATAACAATCTTTCAAGACTAAGAACGGAAAGCGAATTCTTTAAGTGAAGTTCTACCAGAAGAGAAGTATCTCTTTCGAATTCTTTAAACCAGCTAAACATGCTATGCTATAGTAGAAAGTTAAAAGGTTATGATCGTTAATGAGAATATAGGAGGAAAACAAGCTTAATTTTGGTATAGAAAAGTGGAAGCTATTCGACCTCTTGAGAAAAAAATTGGGTTTGTAGAAGTGGTAGCGAATCGATCGTACTTGATGAAATTTATCTGGGAGAGAAGGATCGTAATACTTGCAGAGAACAATTGATCGTTATTCTCCTAGAACGATCAATGAACATCAAGATCTCTTTGTGAAAACAAGCGAAAATTGAGTTCGCAGAGCAGAGCAAAGGATCTGTATCGAAAATTCATTCAGAAAGAAAGAATCTCTATCGGATTCTGAAGCCATTTAAGGATAATAGTCAATGAAATTTATATGGCAGAGAAGGATCTGTATCGAAAATGCATCCCGGAAGAAACGATCTCTATCGGATTCTGAAAGCCATTTAGGGATAATAGTCAATGAAAGTTAAAACGATTTAATCGCGATCAATGAACATCAAGATTTCTTGGGAAAACAAGCGAAATTGAGTTCGCAGAAGTGATAGCGCATTGATCGCACTTGATGAAATTTATCTGGCAGAGAAGGATACTAGATACTAGAGAAAAGTTAAGACGAATTGATCGTAATTCTTCTACACCGATTGTTAAAGCAAGTTTATCGATCTTGATAACAATCTTTCAAGACTAAGAACGGAAATCGACTTGATCGAATTCTTTAAATGGAAGAGAAGAATCTCTTTCGAATTCTTTAAACCAGCTAAACGTGCTATGCTATAGTAGAAAGTTAAATGGTTATGATCGTTAATGAGAATATAGGAGGAAAATAAGCTTAATTTTGGTATAGAAAAGTGGAAGCGACTCGATCTCTTGAAAAAACAAGTGAAAATTGGGTTTGTAGAAGTGGTAGCGAATCGATCGTACTTGATGAAATTTATCTGGGAGAGAAGGATCGTAATTCTTGCAGAGAACAATTGATCGCTATTCTCCTAGAACGATCAATGAACATCAAGATCTCTTTGTGAAAACAAGCGAAAATTGAGTTCGCAGAGCAAAGCAAAGAATCTGTATCGAAAATTCATTCAGAAAGAAAGAATCTCTATCGGATTCAGAAAGCCATTCTTGCAGAGAACAATTGATCGTTATACTTTGCGAGCGATCAATGAACATCAAGATTTCTTGGAAAAACAAGCAAAATTGAGTTCGCAGAAGTGGTAGCGAATCGATCGCACTTGATGAAATTCTAAATGAGTTCTGAAATCCAGGAAAGCGTGTTGATCGATCTTGATAACAATCTTTCAAGACTAAGAACGGAAATCGACTTGATCGAATTCTTTAAATGAAATTCTACCAGAAGAGAAGGATCTCGAATTCTTTAAACCAGCTAAACATGCTATGCTATAGTAGGAAGTTAAAAGGTTATTATCGTTAATATTTAAGGAAAAAAGCTTAATTTTGTTATAGAAAAGTGAAAGCGACTCGATCCAAATTCGCTCGACTTGACCGATCTTTAATGAAATTCTACCAGAAGTTAAGAATTTCTATTAAATTCTTTATTTCAGCATGATGATCATAATAGAAAGTTAATCCCTTATGATCGTTAATAAGAATATGTGGGGAAAACAAGCTTAATTTTGTGGAAAATAGTGAAAGAGACTCGATCCAAATTCGCTGAGTAAAGTTGAGCCAATTTGAGTAGTATCGAAGGATTCAATACTACGAAAACTTACGTTAATCTCTCTAAAATCATACTTCACTTTTGTAATCAGTGTAAACGAGTTGTTGCTAGTTCAATGACAATTATTACCACAGGCTCAACCAGTCAGCGTTAACCAACAGCAGCACAACATTAAACATTTTATTTTAAACAATTTCAAATACAAATCAACAACTTTTAACAAACATCCCAGAGAAACAAAGACATACATTACTTATGTAATAGCATGATGATAAATTTTTAAAATACTTTCAAACTTCAAAAAAAAAAAACTAGTAACATTCAAAAAAATATCATTATTATATCTACTTAGCAACAAATGTTAGTAATACTCATAAAAACAACATTTGTTGCAACTGGCATATATGTAAAGTTGTTCATCTTCCTGTCAACACGTTTACTTGCTACCCGAATTGCACAATTTTTATAACAGTTAAATATATCGGCACATATTGTACAAATAATATTTACTCTTCTAACCTGTTTTCCTAACTCAATTATTTTGCACTTATTTGCCACTACATTTTCTTCTTCTTCTTCAACTTGCAACATTTCACTATTAATGAGTCTTAATGATAATGGTAACTGTAGTAATGACTTACGTTTCTTTTAAAAGTTTTAAAACTTCCTGTTCCTTCTTGCTTAGACCATTAAAAACTGCCTGTAAATTAATATCCAACAGCTGACGAGTTTGCATGCCAATGAGAAATGTTGCGGGACCAGGCATTTGCATGGTATGATACATGGCCAGTTTGCCAAGTTCGATATTGGACTCTTTGCAGATATTTGCGGCTTTGTGGCAAATTTGTTTGAGTTCTTCATTTGCCACATGCCATTGTTGTGGACCATTATTCGTTAAAAGACCCACAGCATGGGCAGCAGCACATACAATACCTAGGTTTTGGCTTTGAAAGAAATCAATGTAGGATTTGAGGGCATCATCGCAAAGGGTATTGCGGGCATAGGATAAAACGGTCTGTTGGAAGGGAATGTTTAATAAAGTTTAAGGACTACTTGAGTCTGCTTACATCAAATCTTCCATTAGCCAATTGAATGCATTCCTTTAAGGTCTTCAAAGGATATCCAGTAACACCTATAAACCGAGCCTTGCCTTCCTTAACAATTCTCTCCAATTCGGGTAGACATTCATTAACCACTGTATTCAAATCGGGAGCAAATTCAATATCATGAATCTATCAGAAAAGTATAAACATTAAAACCTCTTTCAACATTACACTCCTTTACCCACCTGTATTAGATCCACATAATCCAAACCCAATAGTTTTAAACTTTTCTCTACACTTTCACGTGTCTTTTTAGCTGAAAGATCAAACATGCCCTCATAGGTAGACTCATAGCGAGCCACTTTAGTGGCTATATAATAAGCAGAGCGTGGTACATCTTTTAAGGCCAAACCCAAGATTTCTTCTGAACGTCCTTGGCCATAAAAGGGAGCTGTATCAATATAGTTTATACCCGATTTTAAAGCTTTGTGAACAGTAGCTATTGCTTCTTCCACATTGACTTCGCTAGAATATTTACCACACAATTGTTTTAAATTTAAAAGAAAATTGTTCGATTAATTTAATGCCACCACTTACCCGAATAGTGCACTAAATGTGGCACCTCCCAAAGATATTTTCGATACCTTTAAACCGGTACGGCCTAAAACGCGATACTCCATTTTTCTGCACAATTCTTCATTGTGAAAACCTTGCACAAATGTCGAGGGTAGTTCGGAGGAAGTCATAGTTAGCAGAAGATCTCTTTTTCAAATTCTGTATAAAGAAAGCGTTACCTTTCCAGTGAAAATTTAGAAGCAAACTGCTGATTATTTTAGCGGTTTTTAGTTAAATTGCTTCTAGTTTTGTAAATAAATACAAACTTGAGAATAGAACAAACAGATTATTTTTATTACATTAATTAATGATAACAAAATCTAATTGAGATAAAGAAAGAGCCCTTGTAACCGGCCGCACTTATCAGGAATGTAAAATTGCAATTTCACAACTGCTGCAGTGAATCCTAAGTGAAATTGTTGGATTGTTTAAGATCTAAAACTAGAATAATTAACTTTTTCCATTGACACTTATTCCTCTAGGAGCTGAAATATTAGATTGAAAGAAAATACAAGATTCTGTATTATAAGAGATCTTCTCAAGTGGAACACTATATATGTACACCTATACCTCAAGAAATTCACAATTAAGTTAAAAAGAAAACTTCGTTAAAACTTCGTTACTCTTGTAAAGCGATCATTGATCGATCACATTGGTAAACATGAGTAAATTGGGCTTGCAAAAGTGAAAGCGAATCGCTCGACCTTGATGAAATTCACCTGGGAGCGAAGGATCTCTATCCAATTCTGAAATCCAGCTAAACAAGATAAAGGAAACATAAAACGATTCGAAAGTTATTCTTTTAGAGCGATCATTAAACATTAAGATCACACCGGTAAACAAGTGAAATTTGGTTTTGCAGGAAGAGACTTAATCAATTTTGATGAAATTCAGCTGGGAGTGAGGAGGGATCTGTATCGAATTCTGTAAGACAACTAAACAAGGTAGTCAAGGACTGGTAAAACGATTTGATTGTAATTATTTTAGAGAGTTTGTTAATAAGCAACACGATCAATCTTGATGAAATTCTTCCAAAAGGGAAGATTCCCTATAAAAGCTAATCATGATAATAACGAAAAGTTAAAGTTCTTTTAGAGCGATCATTAATCTTCAAGATTATATGGGTAAACAAACGAATTTTTTTGTTTGCAAGAGTAGAAGCGAATTGATCGACCTTGATGAAATTCATCTGGGAGCGAAGGATCTCTATCGAATTCGGAAATCCGCAAAGATGACATACAGGAAAATTGAGATCGATATAATCGTAATTCTTCCAACAGCGATTGTTGAAGCGAGTTCTTAATAAAAATCACCTCGGCAAACAAGCAAAATTTCGGTCGGCAAAAGTGGAAGCAAATCTATGGACCTTGCTGAAATACAACTACAAGCGTATTCTGAAAGACAACTAAACAAGGTAGCCAAGGATTTTTAGAACGATCTGGTTGCAATTTTTCCACAACAATTGCTAAAGCGAGTTGATCAACCTTTATAACGATCTCTCGAGACTATGAACAGCAATTAAGAAATTCAGTTGATCGATTTTGATGTAATTCTTCCGGAAGCAAAGAATTCTTAAAATAATCTAAGCTTCAAGCTTAGTCAATGAAAGCTTAGTCAATCGATTTGATCGTAATTCTTTTAGATCGATCACTTAATTAAGTTGATCTCTCTTAAAAACATTCTTTATGAACTATGAATTTTAAAAAAAGCGAAGAATTCTATCACATTTTGGAGACCTAAGCTAAACAGGATAGTCAAGGAAAGTTAAAGTTAAAGATTTGATTAAAATTCACCCAGAGCGACTGCTGGAACGTGTTGATTGATCTTAAAAACAATCTTCCGCAAGTTCAATCTTAATGTAACTCTCCCATAAGCGAAGGATCTCTATAAAAAAGGCTGATCATGCTAGTCATGGAAAATTTAAACGAAGTGATCCTTATACTCTCACGGCTATGGTTAATCGGCTTTAAAACATTGCCCAGAAGCAAAGCAAGAAATATATTCGAAAAACAAGAGAAACAAAAATGAATTAAACTTGATCGAAGTTCCTCCAGGATCAATTTGATTGTAATTCTTCCCAATAGCGTCGATAAATCTTGAGAAGAATCTTCATCGGACAAAGAACAATTAAAAGAAATTCGCATAAAATGGCAATTTGTTGTAATCCTATCAGACGTAAAGGATCTCTATTGATTTCCAAAGAAATGATAGTCAGTAAAGTTAAATCGATTGGATGGTAAAGCCTCTGAGCGATCATTGAATCGAGTTGATCGATCTTGAGATCATACTCAATGAAAAGATAATAGAAATAAGTGATATCGAATCTAAATTTGATGAGATTCATCTAGGTGCGAAGGATCCTCAACGAAATTTTCCCTGAAAAAAAACCGACTTTGATGGAATTCTTCCCCAGTGATTGATGACGACAGTTAATCAGTCTTGAGATATTTCTACAGAATATTTTAAGAAAGCAATGGTATGCAAAAGAAAACGCGATTTGAAATTCTATCAGGAGTCAATTATTTCTAAGGAATTCTGAAAACATGATTATCAAACCGATTTGATAATTATCGGCCTTCAGAATCAAAGACAAAAAACATCCACGGACAGTAAAAAATAAAATGGGAAAACAAGCGTAATTTGGCTTTCCAAAAATAGAAACGACTTAATCGACCGCGATGATTTATAAAATTCTTTTCTTTTTAATGATTAAAATTCTTGAAGAATTTTCCATCTCTGGCATAAATGTTTTTAAGAGAATAAAAGCGTCTATCTATCTATAATCTACTCAAATTATTTATTTAAAACAAAGCAGGTGTGGGGCACTTTTTAAAAATTCTACAATTTTCAGCATTTAGAGAATTTTGGTACCTTTTTGGTACTTTTTATATTTTTGAAACCAATATATGATTTTTAAAAATACTACTTAAATCAAAGAATGTACTTATTTCAAATAATAAATACCTCTTAAATAACGAAGTTTTTATCGCCAATTACGATTACGATGAACGAAAAAAGCCACCAAAAAAGGGATAAAATGGGGAATTTTTTTTAGATTTATGTTATAAAGACAATCTTCGTAACATCCATTCCTCGAGGCGCATAAAATTAAATCTCTTGGTGCTTTATTTAAAACTAAAGTATTGGAGAAAGCATGGAGGTTCCCACCTTTGTACTTTTTTTCTATAAAACAGTGGTACTTTTTGAATTTTCTATAATAATGAAAAATTTATTAAAATAACTTTATTTGTATATAAAACATTGGTACAATTTGAACAAAATCATTATTTTGTCGTTTCTTTCTTTTTGTCCATGGCTGCCCAGTAGCGTTCAAGTTCAAAGCCCTCCCAGTTGATGGACTTGGTAAAGACACTAGAAAAGAAAAAGGAAAACAAATTTAAAACAGAAAAGTTGCAGAAAAGTGTTAGCAAAAAGTACCAGAAACTAATGTAAATTGAAAACTACTTAAACAAATTATTTCCAACTTCCTGTTAACATACTTAATTTACTTCATAGTCGTATTGCCCAATTTTTAAAGCATAACTAAACGTCTAACCTGTTGCCATAATCTACACTCTACTTCCATATAATCTATCATATTTAACTTTTTGTTTACTTTACTTACGTATTTTTTAAAAGTTGCAAAACTTCCTGTTCCTTTTTGTTGAGACCATTATAAAATGCCTCCAAATTTATGTCCAAGAGTTGGCGAGTTTGCATACCAGTTAGAAATGTTGCAACACCATCCAATTGCATGCAGTAATGCATGGCCAGTTTGCCAAGTTCGATGTTAGCCTCTTTGCAAATGTTGGCTGCCTTCCGGCATAACTGCTTCTGTTCATCGTTTGTAGGATGCCAGGGTTGTGGACCGGCATTCGTTAGAAGGCCAAGTGCATGGGCACTGGCACACACGATGCCCAGGTTTTCGTTATGAAAGAAATCAAGATAAGATTTTAGAGAGTCGTCACACAGGGTGTAGCGGGCATAGGATAAAACCGTCTGGAAGTGGGGAAGTGTAAAGTTTAAGAGTCTTTCAATTAAAAAGAGATTTTTTCCTACATTTTTAATAGAGTAACCGGATAATTTTTTATAGATTTATTGCTATTATTTTAAGTTATATGACAATTTTATTCGAATATTTTCTGAAATTCTTTATAAGTAAACATTTTATGGCAAAGCTTGTGGATTTTTTATAATTTAAAACAACTTTAATCGAATAATTTCATCCGATTATTCGGATAAATTTTCATCGATTACACGAATATTTTTTTTACAACCTTATTTATTTGCAAAACTTTAATGTTTAAAATTGTAAAAAAATGTGCTAAAATTATTCGAATAGTTTTAATCGATTATTCGCTTAATATTAATCAAATAACTTTATTATCGAAATTAAATGTTATTCTGCTTTAAGAATTAAATCGATTTTTAACGGAAAATTTATAATTTATTATTCGAATAAATTTTTTAATCGACTATTCGAATATTTTTTTTTAACTTTATTCATTCCCAAGTTTTGAGAGCATTGTGATAATTAGGCATTTTTTAAGAATGTATTTTTAATCTATTATTCGGATTAATTATTATTCGAATAAATTTTTTAATCGATGATTCATTTTAATACGAATATTTTTGAAAAATTGGTATGTTTAACAATGCGATTATTCGAATAATTTGGATAAATTTAGTCGATTATTCGGATAATTTTAATCGATTGATTTTATTAGCAATGCTTAAAAAATTAAGCAATTTATTAATTTACTCGAATACATTTTTTAATTTATTATGTTAATGTTATTTAGATAGTCGTATACAATATTTTACTTAAATTATTCGAATATTTTTAATCGATTATTACTAATATTTTTAATCGAAATTAGTAATTTTGCAAAAATATAAAATATTTATTTAACAAAAGATTTTAATTTATTATTCGAATAAATTTTTCATTCGATTATTTGAATATTTTTTTCAAACTTTATTCATTCGCATAACTTTAAAGGCTTTTAGATAGTTGTGTATAAAATTTTACTTAAATTATTCGAATAATTTTAATCGATTATTCGACTAATTTTTATCGATTAATCGAATAATTTTAATATTAATTTAAAAAATTTAAAGATTTTTTTTTAATTTTTAATCGATCATACTAATATCTCTTAAAAGCCTTTTTAACAACGTATTTTTAATCGATTATTCGGATAATTTTAATCGAT